ATATCTACACATATACACACTGTGTGCCATATTGTGGTACCCGGGGAGCAGCATGTGCATTAAAGGCTAAGTTCACTTTCCCAAGTAATTTAGGAAAATGCAATTACCCGCTCAAATTTTACCCCCCGCTATACTTGCCTATCGGTGAACGGTCCTTCCCCTCCGCCGGTACAGGTGTACTATCTGTACCCCAAACTGCCATCTACCACAGCCCTGTGCATGGAGTTTGAATTGCGCTTGCAAAATGTGAGCACTCTGGTTAGCACGGTTAAATACGGTTTTGGTTGAAACTATTTTTTGTATCACGACAAGTAGATTATGAGCGACAAGTAGAATGGGCCCCTGCTTTAGTCCTTGGACAAAGTTTTTTTTTTTTGTTTTTTTTTAAATTTCCAGACCCCTGCTTACATAATTCAACAATTGCCTGAAGGGTCAGTCACCAGTTACTGTCACTTGGGGGAGGTGGGTAATTTAGTCAGGTTTGAATTTCAGAAAGTTCAACCTCACAAGAGTGATCGAAAGATAAGAGCAGGAACTTTACTGACTATGCTGCTGAACTGCACCATTACTATCTTACAGTGCAACTGACGCCCAAACTTTTTTTTTGTTTTTTATAGATTGGAAAGGAATTAGAAAAAATGTCAGGTTTTTTTTGTGTGTCCCTGTTAGGAAGATTCACCCTCTCCATTTGTCCCGGTGATGCCTATCACCGGGACAAATGAACCCTCCTGACCACCAGTGATTTTCCTCACTTTCTGTTGTGGTTATTGGACAGGAAGTGAAGGGAAATCTTGCCTTATGAGACAGGTACTCTATCCAAAAGTACAAAAAAATAGGAGGAGAAATGAGGATAGGCCGTGTGTCCTTTTGTAATTTGTTAGAAATAGGCTGGGATGACACCATGTGCTTAGGAATTCAGAGCTGTGTTATCATACTATGTCTCCTTTACATCAACAGTTATTTTTCTGTACTGGCAGCATGTATGAGGATTGGTTCACTCCACAAAGAGCGCGGTCAGCCTTTGGAACGCACTGTATCGCAACCTTACCATTCAGAGACGGGAGGGGGCCTGGTGGTTCATTGAAGTCAATGGAACTGCATCCACGATACAACCCCCCCGCTCACACATTAGTGCCTGTGGTTTTTTTTGCAGCGTACTGGAATACAGCCACTGATGTGCCAGGTTTTCCGGTGCGGCCATTGACTTAAATGCACCGCCGTGCCCCCTCCCTGAACGTAGGGATCCGGCCGGGTAGTAATGCAGTGTGTTCCAGAGGCTTAACGCTCTGGAACGCACTGTTTGTGGTGTGAACCGACCCTCAAGGTATAAAACCTGGGGAAATGTGCATGTATTACAGAAATGTACTTCATTTTTTATTTTCCTTTGACACATGCTTTAAGTTTTATAGTCCTTTTGTTAACAAAACTTTAATGTTCCTGTGGGTCTGTGCAGCAAGTCCCATTTGGTTTCTGGGGTATTTTGTTGACAAAGATATCTTTACAATTAAAGCTGCTTTGAATAACTGATGCATCTTTTCTTTTTTCCTCTAGCTTCCGATTAAAGCCGGGCAGCAGAATACACACACCAAAGTCAGTATGGAGCACAACAAAGAGTGTCTCATAAACATTTCAAAGTACAAATTCTCCCTGGTCATAAGTGGACTTACACACATCTTAAAAAATGTAAACAACATGGTAAGTTTCCTGAAAATATTGCAGAATTGGTCGATGTGCTATTAAAGTGACATTAAAGGCTATTTCCCTTCACCCAATGTTAGGGTCAGGACTTACCTTAAATGATGCCTCTTTATTTGATCATCTTCTTCCTTACGGTCCTTTTCAGCCTTCTCTCCAGCGCTGGTGCGAGTCTCTGATTCAGCGCTGACTCCTCTGTCCTCTTCTCTCATGTCCCACGGAGTCTGTATGGGTGAGCACTGCTTCATAGACTTACCTTGCGTCTCTCCTCGTCTCCCGGCCGAACATCTGAACTGCGCATGCGCCCGGCCCCGAGATCCTTTGCGGCCACCGAGACTCTTCAGATGTTCGGACGGGAGTGCGCGGCAAAGACACAGGTTAAGTTTAAACCTGTTTCAAAGTTTTTTTAAAAACGTTTTTTGCATATGTCTACTGCTTGCTAGCATTAGATGTATGCAAAAAAGTGAGGGTTTAATAACCCTTTAAGCTTAGTTGCCCCAAATGTTCCTGTTTTGCAGATGCAGCCTTTACTTGCAGATCTATCAAGTCCCCTATGTGATAGCACAAAGTGACAGATTCTCTTTATGGAGACATCGGGGGACCCCACAGAAGCTGGTGAAGCACAGATCAAGCTTCATTAGCTTCTTCTCCGAAGACAGCAGCCGGAGAAATGACAGGGCAAAACCAGAAGTGACGAAATCCTCATCGGTTATGATTTCGGTAACCAGAGAGGAGATCAGGCAGCGGATCTGTGCTCATCTCCTTCTGGTCCACCTGCCGGCTGAAAAAAAAATACTAGCAGACTAGTCTTGGTTTCAACCACTTTAGTACTGGACCTTTATTTACGTACATTGGTATTAAAGTGGTTAAAGCTGTTAATTTAGACTAGTATAAGTACTATCACACTTACACTAGGTACTTCTTTTAACATGCTTGGGTGTGCAGTAATGTCATATTTTTTTTTTTTTTACTGCATATTCTACTATAAGGTGAAACATGTTCAAGGCGGGGATAGACTTGTGTTTGACCAATTTATTCCCGTCGCCCTTAAAGGACCGATTCACACCAGCCACTGTGCTTTATGGTACATAGCATAGCAGCTGGTGTGTGGATCCCGGCACATCTCACTGTGTGCTTTTTTTTTTTTTACACAAGTGACATTTTATTAAGTTCTGTGGGCACATCGATGTGCGAGGTTGTTGTACCAGGTTGCATCCCACTATGCTGAAAAAAAGTACTGCATTCAGTACTTATTTTTTCAGTGCACACCACCACGTTCCACCACAATGGGGTGGTGTGAATGGTGTCCATCCGTGAGAAAGCAAATTGCCTTGTCTTGCATTGGGGCTACACTAGAAAAATGGTCAACGTAGCCCCAACGCATCTGGTGTGCATTCACCCTTAAAAGAGAACTATGGGGTAACCTTTTTATCCCATAGTTCTTTTTAGGGTCACATGAGGACATATACGAATGCCCTCCCGTGACCCAAAGCTCAGTATATAGCGGGCTATTGCCTGTTATTTACTGAGAATGCCGCAGCCAGGATGGATCCCAACAATATTTTCAAGATCCACTCAGCTGGCTGATTGACAGCGGGCTCCGCCTGCCCCCTCCCCCATCCATTCCTCCTGTCAGTCATGGAGGATCTGAGCGGGAAGGGGGGGGATCCCTCTGGGGAGCAGTGACTAATAGTCACCGCTCTCTGCAGGTAGATGTTCGGTAAGTGAGCGAGCGATGGTATGTGTTCGCTCAATTGCCGATCTATAGAGTCGACGTGTGACAATTTCAATCTCACAGGTCGGCTCTAGCTATGATGATGAGTGTAAATCACTCCCCTCATAGTCCTTTTCAGTTGAGACAGAAATCCGTTACAACCTTTGGGTCTGTGGGGTGCATGGACCAAGATCAAGAGGATATCTCAGCCCTTGCATTTATATAAAAACTTGATTGCTGATTTACTGGGCTGTGTACAGCTTTTTTATGCTCTTACTCTTCATGGTGCTGTTGTATCTACTTTTACTCTATTTTGCTGCTCTGTATTTTTACGCTTAAAAGCTGCAGGAAATGTATACGTACATTGACAGTTCTAACAGTTTCCTTTATTCTAACATATTTTATTTCACATTTCTAGAGGATATTTGGAGAAGCTGCTGAAAAAAATTTGTATTTGTCTCAACTGATTATATTGGATACACTGGAAAAATGTCTTGCAGGGGTGAGTATTTGAAATGTTTTTCAATTTTGTGGATTTTTTTTTTACTTACAAAAAACAAGTTTCAGCTTTAAATTTAGGAAAAACACCACAATGTGGGGTCTATTTATAACAAAATTTGCATAGCTATTCGTCCAGTGAAATGTAATTGTAAATTCATTCAGTGTGAGTTAACCAGATGTTTCTGGAAATTGGGGGGTTGTGGGGGAAGCAAATGTACTTAACGTAACACTAAACTCAGGAGTTAAAGTACAACTATGAGGTGAGTGATTTTCACTCAACTTCATAGTTCAAGCCGACCTGTGACCATGAAACTGTCACACGTCGGCTCTATAGAACAGGAAGTGAGCAAACACATACTGTCGCTCGCTCACTTTCCAATCATCTCCCTGCAGGGATTCTCCCCCTCCCCGCTCCGATCCTCCAGCGCTGAGTGGAGAAACGGACGGGGGGTGGGCGGGCACAGCTGGCTCTGCCTCTAGATAGGCAGACATGATCACTGAAATCCCACTTATTACATGAATAATGTGATTTTTGGCAAGCTGTCATTCAAGCTGAATGATATGGTAGCAAAATGACTTGAACATTTTCACTAAGGCTATAATAATTCCCAATCATTCATACACATTTAAATCATACCCATAATTTAGCCACACAATTATTTTGGCACTCTGCCCTGCAGCATTATGTTATGGTCACTAGATAGGAACTTAGCTGTTCACAAGTGGAGGGGGCGGACGACACAGCTGGCTCTGCCTCTAGATCAGCAGGGCCCGCTGTCACTCACTGAGCCGGGTGGATCTCTACAGCATTGTCGGAATCCGTCCCAGGTGCGGCGATCTCGGTATATAGTGAGCAATAGCCCACTATATACTGAGCTTTGGGTCACGGGAGGACGTTAGAATATGTCCTTCCCGTGACCCTTAAAAGAACTATGGGATAAAAAGGTTAGCCCATAGTTCTCTTTTAAATCTTTAAAATGCATTTGAATACCGTAACAAATAACAAAAATGTATCTTATTTGTGTATCACTCAGCAGTAGAACCTGAAATCATCTCTGAATTGGTGCTGAAACTCTCCTTCCTTCTGGACAGTGACTACTTTTGTTCCCCATGGTCCCTGTGGGTGTTGTAAAGTAGCTACCACTCAGAGCGCTGTGAGCTTGTCACAGGAGGCTGAGCTCTCCTCCCGCACAGATCAGGAGAGCAGGGTGTGGGCGGAGACAGCTGTAGCATACGTGGTCACATTCCTTTGTGCCCAGGATTAATGATCATTAGGATCTAGTTTTTCAATGAAATGTTTGTACATAATTTTTTACTGTTATAGAAAAACATTTAACTCCAAAGACATGCTGGAAGGTAAATTGGCTCCTGTTTAAAGCTGGACACAGACCTTACAACCATCGCAAGACTTTTGTCTTGCGATGGTTGTAAGGTAATTAAAAAAAATGTATGATCTGCCTATCTTGGACAGGCAGATCGTACTTGCGATGATCGGGGTGGGCTTCCGGTGACTGCAATGCTGAACGGGCAGTGTGCGCTTGCGGCATTTATCTTGCGAACATGCCACACACCCGCCGACAATTGTACGATTCTCGGCGGATTTTCGAACATGTTCCTAAGATAAGTCATGCGACCGTACAGTAAAAACGGTGGCACGCCTTCCCGCGATTATCGTACGATTATCTCAAGGTATGTGGGCACCTTTAATCGGCCCTGTATGTCTGCATGGGATATAGGGACTTTATATTATAAGCTCCATGAGGGCAGGGACTGATGAGAATGTACGCTAAGTAAAAGCGCTGCGTAAATTGTCGGCGCTATATAAATACCTCTAATAAATAAAATAATTGCTATACATGAATTTTTCTACGTTATTAAAAATGACAATTTGTAGCCAGCCCTGATTGTATGAAACTATTCAAAACTGAGATGTATGTTCCTTGTAACCACGTGTGGGTGTTCTGTGCACTCTATATGCACTCAGCAATTAATTTCTAGCTCATACGATTGGCTTACTGGGAAAAATCATAAAAATATCAGGCTGACCCTCTCACTCAGGAAGCAGGAATTCACTTATTCGTTTTTACAGAAGCAAGTAAAAGTCTGCACTGATGGTTTCTAAATCCTGGTGATGTATTGAACTAATCCAGAGAGGACTTTTTTTTTTCATCAGCAAAATTGGATCTTCGCTTAAAATGCTTCTTAAAATCAACTTTCTTACTTTATGCTTGTTGGCAAAAAATAGTAGAAGATCCACATCATATATTTTTTTTTTTCCTTCATATGTGAAAAGCTGATCTTGTCATTGCCAGTGAAAAGCGATGGATAGTTTTTGCAGGTGTTTCCTGGTTTAAAAACCCCGAGTGAACTTCCACTGTGACAGACACGCTTTCTGTTTTTCTATTTCTGCTCATGCCATTTTTCCCAAATGTTGAAGAGCTTTAAAAAAAGTTAATTGATCTGTAATTTCTCTTTTCTTAATATTGCTTGATCTGTTAGTTTATATTGCTTTATCCATCTGCTTTCTCTTTATGGTTCATTAAGTTAGTGAACTGGAGCACTGATACATGACTTATCACTGAGTTGTGTTTTCTCAGCTTTATCTGTCAGCTGTGTAGCAAGCTTTATTGTCATTGTTGTCTGTATTGCTTCAGTTACAAGGTTTGCCTAACATTTCATGGTCAAAGCAATTGTTGCAATTTTGTTGTGTGGGGATTAAACTGCTGATAATTTTTTAACTGCTTTGGATACTAAAGTGTAGGTGAAAAATGATTTGGTACATCTCTGTAACACATGCAGATTTTATCTTGTTTCTCTCCTTTTAAAATGCTGCAAGTACAAAGCATACCCGTTGAGCTACCGGAAATCTAGTGTGCTCCTGTTTGCCAGTTTGAGCTGACTTCAGTTAGAGATGATCCTGCACTTGGTGTGAACCCAGTTCGCCCAGGTCTGCTCAAAATTGTGACTGCCTCTCCCAGCCCAATCAGCTGTGGCAGTTATAACTAAGGCATTCCCTGTCCCTTTGTGACACACAGGCTGCGGGGTGGGTAATGTGCCTCTCCACAACTGATTGGGTCAGGAGGAAGGGGTGGTAGTCACAGTTTTGAGTGTGCTGGGGCGAACTCGGGTGAACTGGTACACTGAAATCCCAATCAGTGGTATTATTCCTGCTCAATTCTAACCTAATGGAATACAGGACCCCTCACCCTTTCAAAGCCTTCCATAACATAAGGGTGGTGTTCTTTAGTGCAAGGGGAGAACTGGGCAACGGGGTTGATTTACTAAAGACAAACAGGCTGGCCACTTTGCAAGGAAATGATCAATTTGCAAGGGAACTTTTTAACTTCGCTCATGTGATAAAAATGCACTTTGCAAAGAATACCCAGTCGGGTGCAAGGAACAAAAAAACCACATGATTGGATGGTGGAAGTCAGCAGAGCTTTTCTTCGTTCACTAAGCTAAGGGGCGAATCCCCTGTGAAGTGAAGTCTATTTGCCTTTAGTAAATCAAACCCACCGTGTCTGCTCATCACAGAAGTCAGAAGTTCAGCAATTTTGTGTACTTTCAAGAGTTAAAACATGGAGAAATGTGCATGTATTGAGATTGTTCTTCAGTTTTGTTTTAACTGACGTACATGTTAAAACATTAACACTGTTGTGGTGTGCAGGCTTGGCTTACTTTTATTACGTTTCAAAAATAACTTTATTCTTAGAAAGAAAATAGATTTTTTACCACAGTCTTAAGTTTCTTAAAAAATAAAATAAAAATTAGTTTGATTACAGTATTTACATCAGATACAGCTGTCATTATCTTGTCTGTCATGTTCTGATTACATCGATTCTAAACACATATGTTCACATTTTGTGCTTATGTTTTCCATGTATAGTGCATTTGTACATATCGAAAGGCTTTGGAAGCATGCAATAAATTGTGCTGGATGCATCAGACGCCCAAATTTTTTTTTTTAGAAATGGTCTCAATTCCTTATTTTTTGTGCGTTTGCACATGTATGTTGTAAAATGTAAAATACATTTTTGTACTGTAACTGGTGCCTGAATTTAAGATTGTAGAACTGTCTTTATATTTTTCTCATTCTATGTTCTGTTCAGACTACCCAAACTCTGCTGGGTTAAGTCACTAAAAGAGACTCTTTTAGCAATACAGTGTAAAAGAAGAAGCTTTATACCCACCCCCTCCAGGAGGCAATGTGTGTTGAAACTTCTCCCTCTTAAGGAGCTCTGGTTGCCACCGCTATCCGACACACTTGGACGTGGTCCCTCCTACTGACCCCAATGTCAGTGTAGGGCAGAGTAGTGACTTATCTGTCGCTATGTGAAACCAAAGCACAAAAAAGGGCGATACTGTACCTGAGGTGTGTCAGTGGGAAGGGTTGGAGAGCCATAAAAAAAATTATTTTTCCCAGTGAGGGCTGTATATTTTCTGAAGTGTATTGGTGCTATGTTATATCTGCATTTTAGATGCAGGTAGTGCATAGTTCTGGAGTCTTTTATTCTCGGAAATGTCAATTATCTTTATCTACATATTCTCATTTCAGCAACCAAAAGACTGTATGCGCTTGGATGAAACCATGCTTGTTAAACAGCTGCTACCTGAGATCTGCCATTTTATTCACACGCATCGAGAGGGCAACCAGCATGCAGCCGAGCTGCGGATTTCTGCATCAGGAGTCCTGTTCTCTTTAAGCTGCAATAACTTCAATGCAGTTTTCAGTCGCATTTCCACCAGGTGAGGAGCAGTAACATTAAGGGAGAACTGCAGGCACACCTTAATTTCAGTATTTCAATATTGGTGAGATGCTCAGTGAATTCATAGAAAGATGCTGGGCTAGTAGCATTTATTTAATGCTGAGTGATTAATATGATTATTGTAAATGCTGACCCTCCCATTTTGCAGGGTATGATGGCAAAGCATTATACATTATCTGCCGAGAAGATGCAAGTAAGAATTTGCAGTTTTCTAAAAGCAAGTTTAGTAAAATCTGTGCATTATGTAGATATAGAATATATATAGATCTATCTATAGATGTATATACACATATATATATATACACATATATACATGCACACATACACACGGACAAAACTTTTGGCACCCTTGCAGAAATGCAGGGGTTCTAATATTTTTGGCCATGACTGTACATATGCTTTTTTTTTTTCCCCTGACCTAGGCTTTTCTTGTTAAAGTTCCTAGTGGTCCCCAGATTTCAGTTTGAAGAGTTCATGTGTACATGTACAGATAATTTTCCAGGACTAGACTAGAGAAAAATTCAAAAGTTAGGAGGCAGCTGTCATTTTTTAAGGAGCACACGAAGCTCCTGGGACTTGCGCTTCCCTGTTTTAATGTATGATTTTGTTTTCTATAAACATGTGATCCACTGACACCATTTTTTTTCAAGTACAAGTACTGATACATTTTTGTTTATTGTCCTGTGACAGTTTTTCTAAAACAATATGGACTAATGATTTCAGGACAGTGGTGGAGCTCCATAGCCAGGTCCCAGCTGCAACCCTGATAGTTCTTGTGAAAATGCCAAGTATCGGCACTGGTATCTGAACATCCCTACATACAACGTATAATAATGACAGCAGGGAGAGATCTTAGAAATGTCTTCGATCCAACCTTGGATCTTTTGCTCTTGTGAAGATTATAACTACGCTTGGGAACTCACAGGATTTATTCTTTAGTAGCAGTTATTTAATAACTGTGCAAAAAGCATTAGTGGCAGTAAATGGGGCAGCTAATTACGGAATGTCTTAGCTTTACAACTCTACTGGTGCTCTGTAAATGGTTTCTGTGGGTTAAAGCATGTCAACACTGAATTGTGTACCAATAAATACGCATTTAACTAAATATACCGGGTAATTGTGACACCCATTTGATTTTCTTTTTCTTTCTAAATTTAAAAAAATATGTTAATTTCTTAAATACAGCATCCCCAGTACTGCTTTAACTAGGAGAACTCTGTCTATAAAGTGAATTTTGCCCCCAAAAGTTGAATTTAAGCCAATTCAAATATAAACTTGATTGATGTTCATTATGCGTTTTCTTTCTTTAGGCTGCAAGAACTGACGGTTTGTTCAGAGGACAATGCTGACGTTCATGATATAGACTTGATACAGTACATTAATGTGGACTGTGCAAAACTCAAAAGGCTGCTACAAGGTTGGGGATATTTCTATGGAAAACATTTTTTTTTTCTCCTATCCTATAATCCTGCCAAATTAATATTGGAGTACAGCTAATTACACATGATTTAAAGAATCCAGTTGATTGTATGTTTGTTTTGTTTTTCAGAGACGGTTTTCAAATTTAAATCCCTGAAGAAAGTGGCTCAGTTGGCGGTTATCAATAGTCTTGAAAAGGTATAAATGACAACACTGTGTTTTAGGTGACCACTGTGCCTATTACCTGCTGCTTGCACATGCTTGCTTCTTACCGTAGTAGTATTTATATAGTGCAAGCAGGTTGTGCAGCATTTCATAAGTTGTATGACAAATGTTATCCTTGCTTCTTTAATCACTGCATTCACATAGTTTTGGCATCTGAAAACCTCTTCAAAATTCTTAACAAACTCGGTATAGAATCAGAATTGGGCTGACTGTGTTGTAGTTTCCCCCAATTTGCTCATCTTTCTCCCACTCACTCCTGTAGCATCTGACATAACTTAGACACTTTCAGCTTGATCATTGGACAGTGAATAAGCATCATAAACATCTGTTTAGTGAGTAGGCGGGTGACCCATGAAGCCTAATGCTGATCTATAAATCAGTACTTGCTAGTGGAAACTGAGACTAGCATATGGCTTAAAACATTTTACACAGGTTCAAGTGATCTTTGTAAAATCTTTATGTATTTTTACAAGATTTTATGTAATCTTTATGTATTTTAAATGCTAGTTCATCGTTCTCTGACAATATCTTCATAAAATGTGTTTTGATTGACCCTAAGTGACCAACTGAAAACAAGGTTTATATTTTCTTGAAGTGGAACTGAGTGCAAGAAGTTAAGATTTGCCATGTAATAGGGGGAAATATTAGAAATGTTAATTGTGCCTAAAGCAGTAGCTTGAAAATGTACCTTTTTTGTCTGGAATTCCATCTGAAAAATAGCAATGTACCTCCTGCTCTGAAGCCTCAGAGCTGTATATCTGCAGTTTGAGACTTAAGGCACTTTTTTGTTTGTGCTATTCTCTTGAGACTTGGAGTGAAATTTGGTGATATCACTACTATGCTGCTCATTGATCCACTTCTAGAGACTCTGACATGAGGAAGCAAGCCCTGCTTTTATTCAGATGCCTCCCTCCTCACAGAGCCACAGTGCATAACAATGTATGGTAAGTCGGTAATAAGGGACAGAATAGCCGCAGAGAGACCAGGGGCAATGCCGGTGACTAGTCCTTTGCCCTCTGCCTGCCTTTTTTGGGTATAGTTTTGAGCGTTCAGTACCTCTTTGCTCTCTATTTATCAGTGCCAACTAATTAACTACATTTTTGAAGCTTTTGGCAGGAACTGTTTAGTGTTGGTATATACAGTATGCAAAAAAAAAAAAAATACCTTTCCAGTCTTTACTTTTTACAAGGGCTTTGTGTGCAAAACGTCCTAATATTATTTGTAATCTTTATTTTGCAGGCATTTTGGAATTGGGTTGAAAATTATCCTGATGAGTTTACAAAGTTATACCAGAGGCCTCAGACTGATATGGCAGGTATGTTTTGTGCTGAGCTGCTGGTGGAGTGCAAAGAGCTTTGTGCTCACAATTTCTTCCTGATAAAAAGTAGCAGACCTCTGTAAAACAGTTATTAAGTTTGGGCTTATATTTTAAATGTTAGTGTCTGAATATCTTATGTTGGAGGCTGAGCACTCTTTCTCGTTCTTTGAGGGACACAGGAAGTTGTTCACCAAGTTATACTGCCACTAACAGGAGTATTGGACTCTGGCAAGTAAAGCACTCTAGGCCAACCCAGATTAACACCCAACATGCCTCAATTGTTTGCTAGTGTCCTATTAGGATTAATTTATTTTTCTTCAGCCCTGCACTGTAAGACTAACCTATTTTTTCTTAGTCTTTAAAATTTGATTCACACTATTTAACTTACTGCTAAAGTTGTTCTCTCTGATTCCAGCTATCTAGCGTGACCATCGTCAGCCTGGCTTTTGGAGTGCTGTGTCTTTAGCCAGTTAAACGGAACTTTGCAAGGATTGCCTGGAAATGACCTTTGGGTACTGGGTGCCACCTAGGGCACTACAGACTGTTATTTTAAAAAGTTAGCCAAGAAACAATTTCTAGGGTCCTAGCTGCTGACATTGCCTCAGCATTGGCCTTGCCTCTGAAGACTCCCTTTTGTAAGTGGGCTGGTTGGGGCAAGCACCAGGAGCTTTCATTTCCCATTAAAGCTGGAAGACTGGGCACTAATTTCATTCGCTGGGTGGATTGTCGTGTGACCTCTGCACTCTTTCCCACCATATAGCATTGAGGAAACATCTTCCTCCTGCTAGGCTAGAGCAACAAGGAACACATCTGTTGTCTGCCTACAGTGACTTTGGTCATCTGTGTCCATCCAACCCTCACCTGGTACAGCTGTCTGGGATTCATGAGTACTTGAAACCTTGCCTCATACTCTATGCCTTATGTTGCTTTTTATCACCATGCGATTTGCGAAATGTCTGATTCTAGCCATTGGGGGACAGTCCCACTGTACTTGAGTCCCCCAGCTTACACAACACTAAAGGCATTGGCGCAGCTTGCAGGCTACTAATGCGGTTGATGTCTGCAGCCTGGAATCCTCTTGCCCTTGACTCTAAGATCTATTCCCTCTTCAGAGTCTTCTTTAGCTCTATCAAGTGTGGCAGTTTCTTCTGCCCTGTCGACTGAGATTTTTACTACAAACTTTCAGAATTTATGTCCAAAACTATCCAGTTATTTGCTGTCTGACTACAGAGGCCACAAACGCACTCCTGCACCTTCTCCCTGCAGATTCAGTATTTGATCTATCTGTGGCCTCTGAGCCATAAGCCGTTGAGACTGCGTCTCTCTGCACCTTTCAAATTCTCTGATAGACATGCTTGCCTCCGAGGAGCTGCAGTGTTATGTCATTAATCGCAAGTTAAATGTAATTTAAGGATCTTCTAATGTAAGGATCAGTGTTGCAGGTCAATACCTTCCTATCCTGCGTCCTTGCGTTCCTACCAAAAGCTCTATCCTGTGGATACATCTACTTTGGCATGGAAGTTCACCACCATTAGCTTCATCAGAGGTAGGAGGTGATGATTGATGGCTTTTGCTAAGGTTGAGAAGCTTGCGTAGCCAATGCATGCAGGAGGTAGTATCCGAAGGTTACAAAATAGTTTTGGGAATATGCCGCGCCGACAATAATCAATGTGTAGGTGTTAAAATGAACTGTGATTAGATCGTGAATTATACAATAAACAAGTGTGAATAATGTATCAACCATACATATAAAATCCCATCATGACAAAACATAAATAAATATTAAAATATATATGTGTTATAAAACATTCTACAATCCATAATGTTTTTTGTTATGATTTAAAGTTCGTATTTAAAAAGCCGTGATGCCCTGGATCATTAATCCCACAGGGTCTGTGGAAACAAATCAGTATTAGTGACGAGCTACCGTGAAAAAAATGTTGATAGTCAGTGAACTGTGTTCGTAAAAAATATATAATAAAAAAGACTAAATAAGACCTATTGTGTTTTTTTGCAGCCCCAAAAGATATAAGACAGTGTCTTATTTTCGGGGAAACACGGTATATATTTTAATATTTATTTATGTTTTGTCATGATGGGATTTTATATGTATGGTTGATACATTATTCACACTTGTTTATTGTATAATTCACGATCTAATCACAGTTCATTTTAACACCTACACATTGATTATTGTCGGCGCGTCATATTCCCAAATTTCATAGCATTTGATTTGAAGGTCAGTTTTGCTGCAGCCCCCAAATTATTTATTTTCAGCACTTATACTTACATTTTTTGCACCTCACTGATCCAGCGCAGAATCACCATAATATACAAAATAGTTTTGCTTCTGTCCTTTACCTCAATTCTTCACATCACATTTTCTCGTGTCTCAGCAATGTTGGGTGGACCTTCTTTCATCCATTCAGGAATTGTTAAACCAGGGGTTTATTGATCCATTTTCCCCAACCATATGACTTGTTTTTTTTTTTTTTTTTATTCATTCATGATGGTGATTTCATAGCATCCATCGAGATAAAGGATGCATATTCTCATCTTTCTGGGTTATTTACCGGTTTCTTTACTTTGCAGAGGGCAACAACTTCTACCACTTTGTGGTCCTTCTCTTTGGCCTTGCTTAGGCCTTGATAGAGAGAGAGATTTCTTGGATCTGGACAAGATGATCTGATTGCATCTTCAAACCAAGCTATATTTCATAGAGGCTGCTGTCTCAGGCATTGTTGGAGGGCAGGTTTTCTTACACTGATTGTTACATCGGCTGACAGTGAAAGGCGAGGAGGCGGCCAGGCCCCTGCAGCGCCGGATGATGCCTGGCTCTAGCAGTGCAGGGCCCCAGCATTGGTGATCCAGCAGCTTCAAGACAGGCTGGGGCCCCATCAGCACCGCTGCTCGTATGATGTGGGACCGGACGGAAGTGACATTACTTCCAGTCCGGCAGCAGAGGAGGCCAGGTGTACAGGCACCAGGAGCAGGTGAGAGGGGATGAAGCCCTGACCAGCCCACCTGAGACCCCTGCAGAGCCCACCATGGAGAGTAAGCATCACTAATGGTATATTGCGCTGTATAATGTACCATCAGCTATAGAGGAATACAAATCCCAGCAATACATTATACACTGTATGTATAATGTATTGCCAGGATGTGTTGTATTCCTCTATAGCTGGTGGTATTCTGCATTGTGCTGCATAATGTATTATTGCTGAGATTTGTAGTGCTCTATAGTTGGTGGTATTCTGCATTGATTGCTGTATAATTTTACCCTTTCCATTTCACTTTATTGCACACCACACTTTTTTTTTTTTTTAATTTCACTGCTCCAAGCTTGACTGTTGTGACTGGCTCAGTGTCCTCTGTACAGCACTGTGATATATGCCAGAGCTATATCAATGTATAATAATAGTGTGTGACTGTGGGGGGACATTAGAGTGTAAGCTCCTCTGTACATAGACTGGTGTAAATGGCTCAGTGTTCTCTGTATAGCACTGTGGAATATGTCAGAGCTATATAAATGTATTATTAGAATTATTATAATACAGGATTTATATAGCGCCAACAGTTTGCGCAGCGCTTTACAATATAAGGAAGACATTACAATCACAATACAATTCAAGACAAGATGGTAAGGAGGGCCCTGGCTGTGAGGGCTTACAATCTAAAAGGGAGGGGAAAGTGATACATGAGGAGGTTATTCACATAAATGTAGAATAAAAACAGTGTGGCGGCAGTGCGGGAGAAGGGGGTGGGGTGGGGTGGCGGTCTAAAACCATGTAAGGGGCCCCAAAATTTCTGATGGCTGCCCTGGGCAGCAGTATAAACCTAGGCTGCTTAATTGTGGTAAAGCTGAGTCCATCAATAGATTCAAAGACATTTTTTTTTTTTTTTTCCTCTTTTGTCATGTGTTTTTTTTCAGATTGTGCAGAGAAGTTGTTTGACCTTGTGGACAGTTTTGCTGAAAGCAACAAGAGAAAAGTAGCAGTTTGGCCCCTGCAAATAATTTTACTTGTTCTGTGCCCAGAAATTATCCAAGACATTTCTAAGGAAACTGTAGAAGAAAGCAAAATGAACAAGGTGAGAGAGACTGGAGTATAACATGTATGTTTTTATGTTCATTCCTTTTAACATTTAGAAGGAATTGAGTTATCTTCTTTTGAAATACTTTCGTTTAAGGACTTTGGTAATTTAAAGCACTTGACATGTATGTACACTTGTATAAACCCAAAAACAAAAATGTAATATATTGTAGCTTACTAGTCCTCGTGGTCCTTACTTCACCCTGGATATGATGGCTGCATAGTTTTTCCTTTTTAGACTCCCCCCACCCCCACTTTTCACTTGGAAATCCTACAAAAAACAAACCCCCTGTTGTGGCTTCACTTTTCCTCAACTGTATCTATGGAGGCAGCCATGGTTGGACTTTCCACTTTCTCCATTACATGGTAGTTGATGGGCTTTGTAGTTTACACAAAAAAAAGATAAGATTGTTTTGTGCTTCCAGTTTATCTCATAGGAAGTGACAAATAAGCTGCATTTCTAGCAAGATCAACAGGTAGTTCTTTATCATATATTGAAATATAATTAGAATGTTTTGGATAGAGTGGTGAGAGTTTAAAACCGCTGTCAGGTTTTTATTGCTGCCTGTGACCCTCTTAGGGAGATTTGTTCTCTCTAATTGTCCTTATCACCTACGTCATTAGTAAAAGTGAGGGTACATCCAAAAATGTTAATTAACACCGGAACAGCAATAGAGGGAAAATCTTCCAATGGGAACACTTGTTCTATGCCAGCTATCTGAGATGATTTCCTTTGCATTGGAAAGATATCCTCCTGCTTCCTGTTAAAATGTCTGTAGGACAGGAAATGAAGAGAAATCTCAAAGGGTTATTAAACCCTTGCATGGTTTTGTATATATCTACTGCAAACAAGCAGTAGATATATGCAAAACGATGAAGAAAAAAAAACTTTTTCAAAGGGTTAATAATTACCTGTGTCTCTGCCATGCGCTCTCGTCCGAACTTTTGAAAATTTATTTGGCGGCCGCAAAGGATCTTGGGGCGGGCGCATGCGCAGTTCAGATGTTCGGCCGGGAGACGAGGGGAGACGCAAGCTAAGTATATGGAGCAGCGTGCACCCGAAGAGGAGGACAGACGAGCCAGCGCTGGAGGGACATCTGAAAACTACACTAAAGAAGAAGTAGATGATCAGATTAAGGTAAGTTCCTGCACTAACATTGGGGGCAGGGAAAAAAATAATTAGCCTTTAATGTCACTTTAATAACATACACATGGCAAATAAAAGTTGTTTTTCTTGCTCTGTGTGAAGATGAAAAAACTGCTCCCAGGCTCTCGCATTACCAGGTGTCTGTTTCCAGGTTTAATGTGTGTTGAGAGAATTTAGTCTGTTTTTAGTCAAGTAAAGGTGCCCATACACTTTACAACCATCGCAAGACTTAAAAAACTGCTCCCACGCTGTCGCATTACCAGGTGTCTGTTTCCAGGTTTAATGTGCGTTGAGAGAATTTAGTCTGTTTTTAGTCAAGTTAAGGGGCCC